TATAATGTTCTTGTTACTATGTATAATGATACTTCAGTTGGCAAACCTAAGAGGATGGGGTCTTTCCTTAACCTCTAGGGTCCAATGAGTAATTAGAGCACCCAGAGGGTTTTTTGATACTCAGCGTACAGTACTTGCCAACTACAAATATGTACATTTAAAACAATCGATCCTATTCTGTCTTTCCTCACCCAGGTAGCTTTGGTTGCCTGCCTTTTTAATGCCTTTTGAATTTCAGCAAATAATTAAAATTTGTCCCTACTTGAAAAATAAAGGGGAGAAAACAAAGCGCTGTCTATAAATAACGGCTTCATCTTTACCATTAAACCCAAAAGTAAAGGTAAGCCATTTGAAGGGTCCTGCACGTTTCCAAGTAATGTCTCAATCCACATGTTTCATTTCCTCCTTAAATAAGCCTTTGTGACCTTGTAGTTTATAGACGTCGAATATGCACTTTACTGATCGAGCCAAGGAGGGTTCATGTGCATGTTCCACACCAGAGCTGCACGCCCACACGAATTGCTGTAGTCAAGTAAAGCCACCACCTTATTTTCACTATTCACAATCCAGTGATTAATTAGTCATTGCTTATAACAAGTAAAACTGTAGCCTTTACACTGGGGAGAGGGGAAAGGCAAGTGAAAGCAGAGCATGGTGCAAAAAAAGGGACCCTGGAACTACATCCTTCTCCTCTTAGCTTCTCTGCCAGTAGCTTGGTGGGTCTCATCTGATTTTGGAAGGCATCAGGAAAAAGCAGGAAGGATACAGCCAATTCTCCGGACTTTTCTTTCCCCATCTTTGCACTCTGGTCTAAGGATTTCATCTTCTGGAGAACGTACTGATGGGCAGGTATCGATTCTAACGGGGGGGAATAAAAGAGAAATGAGAATATAAATCATGTTTCAGACCTGATGTCAACTCCACTCCAGGTGCTTTCCTGTCCATAGGCACACACATCTCGTAACGCCCTATGTCAGATCAGCTAGAGGTGGTGTCCATCCATTGTGGTCAGATTTGGGGGAGAGGAAGGGGATCGCTCCTGAGAGTATTTCTGCAGCAATGGTATAGGACAGGGTGCACATGAAGTATTAAAAGCAGTAGCAGATTTAATTACCCACATACCTGTTAGACTTGAGCGTGCGTGTTTGCGAATGCAGTGACCTACTTGACGAAAGGCAAGCATGAAATCTGAAAAGATAAAACCTCTATTGGCTCATCATAGTGAAGACAATTCCCTCCTTGTTCATGGTTTGCCTACCTCCAGTGCAAATCCTCTGCTCCTTCCTTAGCTAAGACTTAAGCGGTTTCAACAATTAAAAGTTTCAGGTTTTAATTCATGCCGCTATGTTGGGAGAAGCTCTTGCCAAGAACATTTACAAAGCTTTTGAACTTCAGGAAGGGGGCTCCCTAATCTGTTGTAAATACAGATAGACGCTGTCAAGCTAATCGGTGCTTGTGGAGTGATTCTTAATGGCCAGGATTGCTACAGAGAGGTGCGCAAAGCTCTTCTTGAAAACAAAGGGGTAGGTACTGAGCCTCTGAGAAGGCTTTCGGCTTCTCCTTTATAGTTTATTCTGATTTTAAAGACAGTGAACTACATATATCGTGAGCATTACTGAATGGTACATGAATCTTCAAGGCAAGCTCGTAGACCTGGATTAAATGGGTGGAGAACGTTTCCCAGGGTTTTATTTTTTTTATCGGTTTGCTTTGCATGTTTTCTGCACCCTCAGCATCTTTCCATAGGGCAGCATCTCCCTTGCAAGTCCCACTTCTGACTTGTAATTTTGCAAATGTCATGAGGCAATCCTAAGCTAGCTACGTGGGACCCTTTTGGCCAGCGGGGGAAAGCAGAGAAGGCAGCACAGCAGCGAGAAAGCCAATATATTCACTGGGGTGTAGGTTGTAGCCGTATTGGTCTAAGGATGTAGGCAGACAAGGTTCTTTGCGTGAATCTGATATCTTTTATTAGACCAACTTAAAGAGTTGCAAAAATTTTTTTTAGCAAGCTTTCAGGTTTAAAAACCCTTTGTCAGGCTGAGGAAGTCTGCAGGTTTTGTGCGCTCTTCCTGGATGAAATGAATAGTCTATTCACTAGTAAATTCACTGATCTTTGGTGGGGGTGTGGACCACCTCGGAGCACACAAAGTACAAGCTCTTCCTCTCGGAGGATGGAGAGGTAGCTCTTTTAGTCTGAAGTCAGGCGGGAGGCAGGGCAGGGTTGTACCTTATAGACTAATTCTGAGATGCATGAGAGAATTCAGAGAGAACAAGTCATCTGAGCTCCACCCGGCTCTCATAGAGATGGACGCAGAGACACAGCACCAGTAGCACGAGACTCGTGTGACCAATTACAACCACCCCCCAATGCAATGCAGAATTCAAAGATATCCTAATGGGAGAAAGATTGTAAAGTTACCTAATAAAGACATTTTTTTGCAACTATTTGGTTGGTCTAATAAGATATCACCTCTGCCAAGGGTCCTGCGTAAGTTGTATAATAAGGACTTCCAAATGGTTTCAATTTACAACACGTCCAGCCACTCAAAACCAGGCCAATTTCCATTTAAAAACCACCATAAGGTTATTTTGCTTTTCACTATTTCACCCAGCTCTAAAAATCACCCTCTTGCATCTGCTTGGCTTCTTTAAATGCTGTTTTCTGGTTACCCGGCATGCTCCCAAGTTGTCTCCTTCCCAGAGACACCTGTAAGGAGTGCAACGCATCGCAGTCGGAATTGGAGAGAGAAGCTGCGCAGCTCGAAGTGAAGTGTAACCAGACATTAATACACATTTAACGAGAGCTACTTAAAAACCTTCCTTTGTTCCAAAGGAAAAATGGCCGGGGGGATATTAAACATTCAAATACTGGCTTTGTTTTAGTATGCAGAAGTTCAGGCTTTAATTACCAAGAAGAAATCCCCGAGATAAGTATTAAGCACTGAAGGGCTTAGCTTGAAATGCACTCTCATTTTCAGCATGTCATTATCTTGTAGCTCTGCTCCACCCCATGCTGCGCAGCCAGGAGCAAAAACCCACTTGGGAACGGAGCGAATTTAGGCTCGAGCCGAAGTCTGGAGGCTGGCCCTGATTTTCCAGACTTTGATAGAAATGCAGACTCGTTCTAGCCACCGCCTCTTCCCAGCTGTAGGCTCAGTTTTGAGATGGGGGGTGGAGGCCAGAGCAGCCCAGACCTACCCCCAAGCAGCTGAGAGTGGGTGAGGATGGGATTTGGGGTATTAATATCTTAGCACCTGTATGGATAGCTGTGCTTTGCAGTCAAAGGTCCTAATTAGAGTGCTGGGCTTGTCGAGCGTGCTAGTTTATACCATGCAAATGCCTCTCCAAGGCCAAGTCAGGAGCCACGTCACCCAGCGCTGGGTAAAACCAGCTGACTTCACTTCGGCTCAGCTAGCCGAGCAGAGGCATCCCTGCCCAGTCTAGATCCCAGTCCCAGAGCTCATTTTAAGCCTGGTTGCATTCCTTCAAATGGAAAGATTTGCCTGCATAAAGGTTGGTCATGGTGGCATGGTCCCAGTTGGACTGTAGACAGGGCCCGGGTGCTTATAGAGCCTCAAAACGATCACACGGGCTTCTTCAGACAATACAAACAGCAACCTTGGGCAGCTCAGGTGAGTGTGCGGCTATCACAGGTGATGCTAGAGAAGGGAAACGGAGTCGCCAGTGCACCTGAACATCGCCTGCTGTAGCCACCTGCTTCTAGCAGGCGTTGAGCTTTCCTCCTTCCGTGGATTTAATCTCCCGTAATCAAGTTAGTTTCACTCAATTGGCCTCGAATTTCCATCGAGTGTTGTTCTTTGAAAAATAAAAATCCCGGCTTGACGTCTGTGGTTTGACTCAACTGCTGAGGGTAAAAAAAGGAGGAAAAAATTAGTCATCCTTAACCAGGAAAAAAAAAAGAAGCAGCTATCTTGCACTTTCAGGTTCTCCCCTGGCTGCAAGAGGATCAGAAGCCTACGTGACGTTTTATTTGCCTTCATTGGTATGTCACACCAGGCCCATCGCAGTGGGCTTCAGCCAATCACTTGTGCGGTGTGCTAAATGGCAATTTAACAAGTATTTTGCAGTTCTGGCCCCAGCTGGGACTTTTCAGGAAGATATTTGCAATTAAACTGTACCTCTAATTCTGTTGCTGCAGGAGCGTGGCGTGCTGCAGCATCGTTTCTTGGGGGTCTGCATGAGTTGTTGCACTCAAGGCCGTGCCTTTCCACTTGCACTGCTGCCCTTTGGCGTTGAGTTCGTTATCACCCATTCCTCGTCTTGGAAACACAGGAGCATTAGTCAGGGAACGAGGCAGAGAGCCATACGCTTGCAGCATTGCTGTTTATCCTCCCCAGCCCTGTGTCAGGGGGTCTGCCATTAAAAAGAAGGGTGTATCTTTTAGCATGCTATCTTTTCGGGTACCAATGAGATGCAACGCGTTTAATGCCATTCGTACAGGCAAAGAAATCTCGTTTGTTAGTTTGCTTGTGACGGGGGCATGTACACAAGTATCTTCCAGCCTACGAACGTGTGCGCGTGCGTTCGTGTGTGTCTGCAGGTGCCATGGAGTTGCCGCTCTTCTAAGTGTCGAGCAGCAGGTGTGTTAATACAATAGGGTGATTGCATTTCCAGGGAACTGCTGCTCTTTTTGTTTTTTAAGATGTGCAGACGGCACTTTTTTTTATATAAAAAAAAATAATCTACATTTCTGGCCACAGCCTTCCATGAGGGAACGGAGACACCAAGACAATCATGTAATCAGCGGTAGGTTAGACATTGTGACTTCAGCCATCTGCTACAGACTGGCAGATGGGATAAAAGATGACAGGAGAATGGCTCCTCCGTTTTGTCAGGATATCAGGAGGTTTAAAAAACGATGCCTTTGCATCCCCCGAGGCCTGTAGTTATAGTGTTGCTGGGTCACTTATTGCTACTGAAAAAAGCGAGAGGTTTTCAGACACGCTGGCATAATGCTCCTCTCTCATCTGGTTTGGTAGGACTTCATCGTGACGGTGGTCTTCTCGTTCATGTGGCTAGTGGGCTCCTCTGCTTGGGCCAAAGGACTGTCTGACCTCAAGGTTGCGACGGATCCAGATGAAGTGCTGTTACTGATGTCCGCTTGCAAGCAGCAGACCAATAAATGCATGCTGGTGCACCGCCCAGTCATGTCCAGCCTAAACACCTCGGTCGTAAGTAGACTCGAATTGTTTTACTATAAATGTGCACCACGTCTTGTCAGCTCTCCAGACCACGGACAGGGAGTGGCCCTTTGCTAGCCCATAGGAAATGCTGTGGATGGGCTTGTGTGACCTCCCACCTGTCTCTGGAGGTTAGGTACCTGAGTGAGGATTGCAGACAGGAACCTCCATCCATTTGTCTAGGGAGGGGCTGGGGTCTCGAATAACAGCCTTACACTTAGGAGCCCAACATGCACTGATGTCCTGATTTGGATCTATCCCTTTGTCACTCCGGAGCTGAAATGCCAACAAGTTTCCTTGCAATTGAAAATGGGGCCCCCGTGCACTCCTAAAAATGTTAACGATGATCTTTCTGCAGAATAGGGTTTTTGCTGTTTTGAACATCTGTGCTCATTTTACTGCTCTGTGCCCTAGGATATAAAAAGGGGCCCACCGGCTACTCTCTAGAGGCGAGCTCTCTAGTAGCATTGAAACCCCAGGGCAATTTCCACCTGCAGCACTATAAAATAAGCAGGGTTTTCCTTACCTGCCTCCCATCCTCCATAAATACTCACCCCCATCCTAGCTACCTGAACTCAAGGACATCCTTTGTAGTGGAGTCTAAAAGTCAATTATTCATGATTAGGTTGGACCAAGAGCAGAGGTGTTTCATTACCAAGAGATCTGCTCCCCAAATCTACTGGGAGAGGCGGTCTTTAGACATGCCGGGCTCATTTCAGTCTGAAACATTGCACTGCCTGTATTTGATGTTGTCTCTCTGTATATATGTATATATTTGGGCTGTGGGACCATGCCTGTGTACTGATGAGTTGCTTTGGTTCTTGTCTAGGTCTTTGGATTCTTGAACTTTATTCTCTGGGCAGGCAATATTTGGTTTGTTTTTAAGGAGACGGGCTGGCATTCCTCAGGCATGAGGCACCCTCCAGACACCATGGAGAAACAATCGAGCAGCTTTAACCAAGGTGGCTATAATCAAGACAACTACGGGCCAACTGGTGGGTATAACCAACCAGCCAGCTACGGCCAGGTGGGTGAATACAGCCAGCAGCAAAGCTATAGTCAGAGCGGGCCGACTTCGTTTGCCAATCAAATTTAGCATCCGCAGAGTTTGCATTTTTGCCTCCGTTCGATGTAGACAGTTTAACAACACTAAGGTTCAGTGGCACCAGATTTTTAAAGAGTTTAAATAAGTTAACACAACAGAGTGTTTCATGTAATTCAAGATCTAACAGCACCTATTGAGGCAGAGGGGTGGTGGCTTGAGGGTCATATTTGGCTTTTTTTTTGTGACTAGATAACTGGTGACGATGTATTCATCGCAGGTGGTGATTTGGAGTAAGTATTGTTGTATGTATTGTATAGATTCTTTTATGGTAGTTTTGTATGTGTACTAAGATGGTAGCAGCATTTTGTAGCCTCGGATCTGTAGTATTTAATATGCATTACATAATGAAGTAGAACTGAGTTTCCTCCTACATTTTGGTGAAAAACAGAAGTGCTTTACTATGATTTCAAACTGTCCCTCAGTAGCTCACAATGCATGTGGCATTGTCCCGACGTTTCAAGACTGCCTGTCTGTGACCCTTTAAAGTATTTGTTTTGATTATATTTTTCTTTCAGAGGATTTTATGATGAGTTATTATTTCAGTGAACCGATTCACATGTGATTTAGTGCATGAATAAGCCGCTTCACACAACAGAATGTTTTGGACTATATACCTGGAAGTTTCCAATTTCTGCTACTACTTTTTGTTAAATGTATGTTTAAAAAAAAAAAAAAAAGTAAGCATATTTTATATATTTTGCAGAGTTGAATATATGGCTTACCCGAGTTCTGAATGCTTTGTAACTAAACTGTTTTTCCTTGAAATGGCATTCAGTAGTATATATGGTAACTGGCCAGTGTTTATTCCATTTAACTAAGCTAAGTATTCATTCTATACATCACTATTTCTATTGCTGTTTTGTGACTCTTTTCATGTGAGCTGTGAAAAATAAGGACCAAGTAACTGTGTTATATGTTTACAAAGGTATTTATTTAATTAAGCTAACAGAGGTGCAGAGATCAGGACATAAAACCCCGTGAAAATAAGCCACGTTGTATCCTACACGTATTACAACAAAACATGCCAAGCGCGTGTCTTGTTGGGAGGTAGTTTATAATGCTTAATTATTCTGTTATCTCCACTGAGAGTATTTCTATGTTGTTTAAAGATCATGACAGTTGTGTCTAGGCATTATGAAGGATGTTAGTTTGAGAAAATATAACAATGCTGACCAAAAACACATCTGGAAGATCTCCCCCTAAGATGTATAAAGCTAGCCCCACAGCGATGGATAACTGTTTCCTTGCTTGCTGTATAGCACATGGGATACTGAACAGCAAAAAGACTCATTTTTATCCCTCCTTTCTTGCTCAATTTGAAGCGAGCAGCAAAACACCCCAGTCAAAACTGATCATCTGCATTTCTAAATAAAAGTGTATTGGTATGTAATATCATTGTATTATCAACTGTAATGTTGAAAGCATCTTAGCCTCCAACAGCCTAGTCTCTTATATGATCGTTGTAACCAATTTATGGCTACTTGGTAGATGAATCTATATTGTGATATCTATTTGACCCTAATAAAGTTATTGCATACAATGCATGTTTGGAGAGTATGGTGATATTACAGTAATGTAAAATAACCCCAAAGACCGATGGATTATTATCAGTAAGTTTTCTCTGTCTAAATGCATAGAAAGGCTTAATCACTTCCCCCTTTTGGTCTGAAAGAAGAACAGCTAGTGCACACATCGGGTTTAAACAGGCCCGTGGTTATCTGTTCACCAATCTGTTCACATGTACGGCCAGGTAGAGACATTACACACTTACCAGTAAAAGTATATCAGAAACCGGTCTATACCCATAACAGAAGTTCAGCGCACACGAATTGGTTTAAAAATGGACAAACCCCGTCTAAGATTTGTCCCCCGACCGAAGAGTGAATGTGTTTTCTCTTCATATGATTTCAGCTGCTAACACATCCCTGCCTATGGTATTGCTGTAGCTATTCATACTGCATCTACGCGTGCCAGTGGAAAATGTATACAAATGACTTCGGTAAATAATCTATGGCCAACTTTTATCTGTTATTCACACTAAGTGCTGTCTTCCTCTGCAGGTAGTCTCTCTCTTATTAACCTAACTGGGACTGCATGAGGGGAAGCATTCAGTAATCGGAGTCAAGCCACCAAAGTTGATGAGATTTAATTTTTTTTCCCCCAATTTGCCTTTTCTTTCTTCAAGGAAGAACAGTTTGTGCCCCCAAGACACACTCCAAGCTTTTCTCTGCAACCGGGAGGCCCAGAATTGTACTTCATCTAGTACATGAGAAGGCACGCAGGACCACACAACCACAGGAGCTGAGGTTTTATTGATTCGGGTTCTCCGATTGCTCTAACGTGACAAAAGCAAACATGAAAACTAAAACTAAAGCTGGGGGGTTGCATGAACATCTCTTCTGGGCAAAAGTCCCGTTTATGCCAGGGACTTTATATGCACCCTCTGCGGCAGTCTGATGAGCTGCGGGTTCATTTGACCGGAGAATGCAGGCTACAGCAAGAGGGATAACATTGAGATTAGGCATGTCCTGATTTAAGGCAAGTGGCTGTCTAAACTCCAGCATCCTCTTTGAAGGCCTGTTTGAATGCTGCCAGCAGACTGATTGCCTTCCCACTGAATTATTCCTGACTATACTAAGGCTAGTTAAATAACTAGGTCAGCTTTGAAAAACATGTTCCTTGATCTTCTTTGCTGTCCTTCCTGCTCTTGCCTCTTCCTTGTTCCCCGTTGCCCGATGGAGGGCAGGGGAAAGGAGTGTTTCTCTAACCTACTCTTAAAAGCTGAAGAGTGAAGAGGATTTCACAGCCTCTCTAGGGAGCCTGTTTCAGCACTTAACCGAACGACTAACGAGTTCTTCCAAACAACTTCCCTGTTGGTTGTTGCAATTTAAGCCTATTAATTCTGGTCATAGCCACAGCAAACAAGTCATCGCTGTCCTCTTTATGACAGCTCTTTTTGTGTTGAGGAGTGGTAGCCGATGCCTTCCAAATCTTCTCTTCTCTCATCCCAAATCCTCCAACTTTTTTAACTCGCAGTGCTCTCCATTACATCTCAATCAGTAGCCAAATCTTCTCTCTTTCCCGGCACTGAGTGGGCCCATAATTAATCATAAATGTTTGGTAATGACCAAAACTCATGGAGGTGCTGAGATTCTGTCACAGGTATTCATAATGTGCCCATTTAACCTTGCTAGCTTAATTATTTCCAATTTGCATACGCTACGAATTAGGAAGAGTTAGTAAAGTTGAGCTCTAGTCATGAATGATTCCTGGCAAAGTCTCTGATGCGTTGATGAAAGAAGCTGTTGCATACACTCATCGCATCTGTCTTTATTCTGCCACATGCCTCATCTTCAGAGCTTCTCAATTAGAAATATTTTTAAAAATCACCCAGAAGAACAGCAGTCATCTTACTCATCAAAAATATTTTCTTCCTGCTTGTTTAGTAGCTCTGTACCCAATCAAATCATAAGCCTTTGGCTCTTCTGTTCTCCTGACTTCAAGCCCGGTTGATTTAAAACCTTCCCATCTCTAGGACTGACACGCTTCTGAACTCACACTTTCCCTGCCATCACAGCCCTTTCCTTAGCATTATATTTTTATTCCTCCTTTTTAAGAAACACCATAGGTGGGGGTTTTCCCCTCCTTCTTGAATCCTTCCAATGTCAGAAATCAGCTGCATTTCAGGATTTGTATCCATTACTGCTTCTTGCACCATATATGATCTAAAATTCATAGCTAATGTAACGCTGTCAGTGGTCTGACATGAAATTATATTGGAGAAGGGGGATGCTTGTCATCCTACCCAGCTGCCATTTCTTTGCTTACATTTTCACCCTTGCATCTCTTTAAGAGGAGTTCAGTTTTCTGATGCACGTGGCTGGACTCCCACGAAAGGCTCTCTTCAGTTTCCCTTAATATTTTTACTTAGTTCTGGGATGATAGCTTGGGCAGGTGCTTTGGGTAGGTGAATAATTTACCTACCCAAAGGAGAAGTGTTTCACTCCTTATGCCTAGGATTTTTCAGAGGCACCTGATTTCCATCGGATACCACACTGGTTTTGTTAGATCTCAGCCAGGTGTTACGGAGCAGAATTTGGCCCTACTTCATATACCATACCCAAAATGTGCCCAGACTTGAAATGACAAATGATCTTTCCCTGCAGATGAAGACCAATTCTAATAGCTTCTCCAAATGACATTTCACCTGCTTTATCTCCCGCAGTGGGATTCATTAATATTTTAATCATTAATGACCCCAGAGCTAAACTGCGATCTGAGAGCTGCACAATCACATACTTATCTCTGAAAAGCATATTCATGGAGGATTACTGGAGCTGAAGTTTTTCTGCTAATGTGTCCTGGATTTATCCCATAGCCCTGCGCGTGCCCACCTCCGGGTGCACAGACCTATAGCTTCTCCTACACCAGGCATGCTTGACAAGCAAGAATGAGCTGGAAAGTTGTATCTGAAAGGTGAAATAAATGGGGAAGATCAGGGCTTCGGCATATTGGGGTCTGTTCCTGCTCCCAGCAGAGCCTAGGTCACTGCTGAGCGAGGAGTGCAACCTGGAAAATGTGACTGCCCTGTTTTGAGTGAATTGATTAAAGCCAGGGCGTGTTTCAAACTGAAGATGAGATGATTTAAGATGAAGATCAATTGTTGCAATGATAACGCACCATGATAGATGGTGGCGCGTTGCGCACCTTGTGACAATGATGTATCAGCTGCTCCCTGAAGCTGCTTTGTAAGCCACTTGTTCAGGTCACTGGACAAACTGGCATGAATGCAATAGCAGTAGCTCGTTGCTGGTTGTCAGACGGCGACGTGACAAAGAGCTCCTAGACAGCGCTGCGTTGGCCGGGCCGGCAGACTTCCCATCATTTGCAGAAGCTGGTGTGGTTTGGGCAGCAGAAAAACTCCTGCCAGTAGATCTGTTGCTAGCTACACCAAAACCTGTAGCTACACCCTTGCACAGATGGTGTAGTTGCAGTGTAGTTATAGGTAGGAACAGCACACACATCTCCATCCACCCTGATCATGCACCAGACAACTCAACGGTGGATGGGAAGAGAGTCTTCTTTGCCAATGGGGCACGACTGAGCTGTCAGTGATGGCTCTAAAAGGGCAGCGATACCCAAAAGGCAAATGTTCCCACAGTTGCCTTCATCTGTATTAACTTTGCAAAATCCCAGACGCCTGGGAGAAACAACCCACAGAAAAGTAATGTGAGAAAAAAAACCAATCGCTAGGAAATCAGTCTGTAGCAGCAATGGTCGGGCCCTGCACGTGCCAGGTGCTGAAATACGCTGGTGCAGGTGAGCTGGAGGAAGGCGGCCGGCAAACTTCAGTGGGGAAACTTGGGAGCAGTGCAGCTCTCCTGCCAAGAGAACAAGTTATTTGTTTGAACGAAAAGAGTGGGCTTCCACCAGGGAAGAGTCTAACCAAAAATCTCCGAAAAGTCCATTAAAAAAGATCTCCGGATGGCTGTGTAATGCCCTGCAATGTTTGCACTGCAGCCCGTGCAGAAAGGTTTTGCTGTATCGGACCCAGATCCTTTGTTTAGCAATATCGAAAACTCTCTGGTTAGAACTAGAGTTGTAGAAACCCACACAGACATCAGGAAAATTTGGACCTAAATAACAGTGATTGACTGTGCCACCTAAAAATAGGAGTTAGCCTGAAGATGATCAAAATAACATCGAGTAATATTCTTGTCTTTCTTTTAGCCATTTAAGGTATGGAGAATATTTCCGATGCCCTTGGCAAAGATTAACATTAAAGCCAAGTACCCTTTAACAGGGTCAATTAGATTCAGTAATAGGCTATATTAATAACTTCAATTTGTGCACATGAAGATAAGAGCCACCAGAGCATTAGACACTACCAAACCCCCCTCCCCACAATATCCTATTTTCTGGGGTGCAAATTAGCTACACGTCTGCTCCAGCAACACTTCCTGGCCCTGGTTTCAACCAAGAGATATCGGTGTGAGGAAATAATAAACCTCCCAAATCCATGGGTCTTAGGTTTTAGATGCATTTCTCGTAATATCCATCACACTGTTAGCCTCGAGTCCCAGCATAATCGTGCCTTGACTTAGGCATGCCCGAACGTGCTTGGTTGTGCTGTTGACAGGCTCATCTCTATGGAAGCCAGGGCTCGGGTACAAGGTACATATTGGTTTAGAAATGAGCCTTCCCGAATCAGAGGCACGTGAAAAGAGAAGCCGCTCTGAAAGGAGACCAGGCAGCAGGCCTTCTCCACCCGCAGAGGATTGTATGCCCAGCTGCCGCTGCCACCAGCACGCCTGCACGCAGCGGTGGGAATGTGACAATCAGATAAAACTGGCAAATTCATTCATAATTATTCACGTTGTTTTCCACGCACATAGGCAGGTATCAAGATTGACATAACGTGTCTCGAGATGCAATACAAATGCATTATAATGAACCCCCGTGGGACCAGGAGAAGAGGTAATTATGAGAGAGCATTCCCTACAACGGGCTTAATCAACCCTCTATATCATAGTAATGAAAAAAAATCAGTTCCTGCTTTTAGGGTGGTTAAAATTATAGACAGGGTTAGCGAGTATGAGGTTGTACCACGCATGTATAATATTTATTTATTAGCTTGTTATGCTGCCTTCTCCACAAAAAAAAGCTCAGGGTGAATTATATAGACATTTCTTTTTTGTTCTGTTCTTTCTCTTTCTCTATGGGCGCGTCTACATGAGACGCTTACTGCGCATTAGCCTAATAACACTGCAAAGTAGCGCGTCACAGCACAAACGGTGCTAATAGCCTGCTGCGCAGTGTTACGGGCACTCCTCACTTAACGTCGTCCCAGTTAACATTGTTTCGTTATTATATCACTGATCTATTAGAGAATATATTAATTTAAAAGTCACGCAATGTTCGGTTATAACGTTGTTTGGCCGCCGCCTGCTAGTAGGTAACTACTGTGACGTAATTGGATTCACTTAACATCGTTTCACTTAAAGTCGCACTTTTCAAGAACGTAATGATGACATTAAGCGAGGAGTAGGTGTATTAGGCTAATGTGCAGCAAACATCCCTAAATACCCATGCACCAGCGCTACTGCACAGTAACTCTGGGTACTGCGTGTTTAGTTTAGCACTAGTATCTAAGGCGCATTCATGAACGTGTAGACGTGCCCGGTGTGTATCTGTGCTTAAAGCATAAACACAGGCTGTGCCAATGGAAAGTAGCTTGGGACCTTGGGATGTGATTGTGCACGCGGGGGAATTGCATCCTTTGGGCTGCTCTCTCCGGTGTAGGTTAGCATGCCTTCTCGAACCCATTCTTGGAGTTCAGAAATCCCTGAGGGCTGGGAAGTCACGGGAATGCAGTCTGTGCGGTCAGATCTACACTGGCAAAAGAAACCAGCATGCCCCAGGCTGTCTTTGCGAAGCCATCTCCCGACAGTGAAATCCACGGCACAAATTCTTATCTCGCTCTTCTTTTTACTTTGGATGCTAGGACCAAAGGTGCTTTATGTTTTGCAGATAAGCCATGATGTAAAGCGGTCCATGCCTTGCTGTACAGCTCCACAGATGTAAAAAAAGAAACATCGCTTCAACATGATAGCAAGCGTTGTTTTGTTGTTTTCTTCCTAGTTGATGGCAGATTACTAAGCCTGAATTCTTGTTTAATTTTAGTGTGTTAATTGATGGGATAATGAGCATTGATTATATGTGTTTTGGCTGCGTCACTGCAATTACAGGCTCTGTTTTATTCATGAGCCTATCCCAAAGAACACACTAGAGATCTAAGACAGCTTAAACCTCTCTCAAGAAAAAAGGCCCCGAATTGTTTGAGTAATGACACTTTTAGATGGAAAATTAAGGGTTCTCTTTTCACATGCTTTTTAAGATAATTAAAATCCAAGAACAGTAAGGTGGTGAGCATCCTTATTCATTAGCCGTCAGTAATTTAGCTTCTGCTAAATGAGGAAAACATTTTAATTCTCTAGGCCATCTGTTGCTGTCTCCTTTGAGTGTCCTGTTACATAAAGTCTCATCCTGGAGAATCTTGTCATCAGTGCTATATCTTGCACCAGGAAAAATGACTTGGAAAATGATGAAGTTCCTCTCTGTGCTGGCCCACTTGGAAGGAAAATATTGCCAATAGGACTTTCGGGTCAAAGAAGCGCTGTCTAGACATCTGTGAGCAAAGCCGCCAGAGACGTGCCTATGGCTCTTAGGTAACATCGGTAGGAAATCTGCAGCGAGTGGAGGTACGGCAAATAATCCCTCCACCAACAGTTGTGCTGACAAATAACACGGTGCTTCCCGTTTTTATCGTGTGCCACTGACCTGTCCTTCAGCTCAGGGATGTTGTTGGAAGTGGAGAGCACCCACTTCAGTGAAATGGAGGCGTTAGGGTGGGTGCAGTCTTGCTAGTAGTCCCGGATAAGACAGACCCCTGCTCCTCCTCTTGCAAGGTGGGAATACTGATTTGATATTCAGTGGAGCAAGCTTTGGTCCCAGGCTGGGGAATCCCTGGTTTCCATTCCCGGGTGAGATAACAGCTCCCTGAGTGTGCAAGGAATAGGTGCGTCTGAACCGGTGCTGTGGTCTATCCCTCACCTGCAAAATGGAGATTTTAGGGGAGATTCCCTGGCTTCTCGTGGTACCGCGAGGACAGAGTTTGTCCCTAATTCCCCTGCCTGGGGGGTGCCTTCAGGGTCAGTGAGTGCCCAGGGGGCACAGAGGCTCCTATCACAACTTGTACCACCCAGAGCACTCCCCAGGACAACACCATAGGCGTAGCATAGGTGCCTATTTATTAGGATCGATGCAGACTGAGTTCCAGTTGATTTGCTCAGGCCCCGTTCGAATCTAGCTTGCTCCCTCTTCATAAGCAAAATAAACAGCACCGTCTACCCTCCGGTACTTGGGCACAGGCTCAAACAGGTTGCTGCGGGCTGATGTATTTAGCCAGGAAGCGTTTACATTATTGATAGGGCCTGCTGAAGGCAGGCTGTGTTGGCAGCGCCGAGCAGGGATCTGCCTGTTTGCAAGGACTCGAGTTGCTTGGAGATGGTCACTAACGAGGCTGTCGTGAGAGATGTGTGGCTGCACGGCCAGCTCTGCGAACGCCGAGCAGTCCTCTGTCCATCCCAGCAGGGAAGCCGCTTCGGCCGCAGCCAGCATGCCCAAACGGTAAGGCACCGCGCTGCTCTTTGCCGCTTTCCTAATCCAGCCCTTGTCCTGAAGTTCGCTCTCCGTTCAGATTTGTCTGCATCGACCGGGAGAGTGACGCTCCACAGCACATTGGCTGGGCTGTAATTAGCTTCCAGCACTCAGTAATCAGGCTTTATATTTTAATAGCAAGTGGCTAGAGCCTGTCTGGCCGGCTCCCAGCAGAGGTAACACCCAAGTAACCCTGCATTGCACGGTGGAAACGGGCAAGCGTGGAAGCTGCCCGGACCCTGCTGGATTTCTCTGCAGATGCATTTAGATCCCACGTGAACAATGAACGCTCCCGGGGGGTGAGGAGCATATCAGCTCCCACTCGCTGTGACGTGGCCCAGGCCAGCAGCCCTGACACTCTGTTCCCTGTATCGTTTAATAGGAACTACAGGCCAGCCTCTAAGGCTGAGGCTCAGAAATGGTTTTGTAGCTGGAGTTTAAGATATTGCTTTTTTCCCTGTGGACAAAACCCAGCTTCCCTGGGATGTGGGGCAGGGGGGAAGCACTGCGCCTGTGGGGTGAAACAGCAGGTGGGAGCAGACAAGCTGACGTGCGAGGGAATGACGACTCCCGTATAACTGTGTCTTTCCTTTCGATACCAGCATACCCATCTCCAAGCAGCTGGCCTCGGTGAAAGGTAAGGGCACCCCCTTCGGTGTGGCTGATGGGTTTTACCCGCCAAAGGGAAAAGCATCCAGTGCAGTGAATCGTGGGGGCCGAGGGGAAATTTCATTCTTTGGCACAAGCCCAGAGCAGAAAGGAGAAGCCTCTCTGTCTTGCGTGCCTGCAACAACACGCTGCCGGGGCTCCTGCACGCAGGGGCCAGAGACTTTGGGATGTGGGGGGAAGAAGGGCATGCAAAGGTAAGGAAAGCCAGGCTGGGTTGCATTTCCTGGGGAAACTAGGATGTGAGGGGAAGGGGAGTAGTGGGGTGCAGTTTGACCTCCCTCCACCCTGAGCCTCTATATTCCTCGCCCATCCTTACCCAGTGGTACATGGCACAGGGTCTCCATCGTGTCCTCCCCGTGTGCAGTAAGCCAAAAAGTGAGCTCAAGCCTCATGCCAGTCTTCTGCACTGGGGTGGGTGTCACCCACGGTCATACAGGGGTTCACAGGGAAGAAAGAGTCTCTGCCCTGCTCAGCAAAGCAACCCAGGTGATGGGTGGGTGAAGCGATACAGCCAGAGGGAGGGCGGCCCAGGCAAGCACCACGGATTTGGGGAAGAATCAACATCCAAAATATTTCGGCTGAAAGTAGAAAGATCTTTCGGTCCCAAATGCGATTGAATTCACCCCATGATGCACCGTCATCTCTTCTTCGTGACAGAGGTGCATTCTGGGAGAGGGACCCTGGTGCACAGTGCAAAACGGGAACGCAAAGTGTCTGCGCCACGGCTCCCCCAGGGCACGCCAGCAGCATTTCGAAGTCGGCGTGCTTCAGTTTGCAGGCAAAGAGCACTCGGGGATTCTTATTTTTTTTTAAATCCACATTTTCACCCTGAAAACAGACCCTTGTTGCATGGTGGAGAACTCCATTTTCCACCAAAAACTGGAGAATTCGTGGGGGGAGACCATGCAGGAGGCAGGTGCGACAGTGTTCCCGTTCTCTCTCTGCATCAAGGGTGATGAGCTCACGTGGCTCACTTCTCGTTAGCCTCCCTGGTTATTATTTGTGGCATAGAGCTCAGGTCTGTTTGACGAGCATCTTGCAGCGGGTGTTGCTGCCTCTCGAGTAATAAATTCCAGGCCAGATCCTCAGCTGGTGAATGGGGCCATCAGCTGCAATGGGGCAATGCTGATTTACACCCGCTCAGGATGCCTCAATGGTGCCATGTCCTCTGATCCCATGAGCCTTTGCCAATGACGGCTGCTTCCCTCAGCTCTAGGGAAAGGCTCGGACCTAGAAAAGGCTTTTGCCACCGCAGTCCTGGTCTATAGCAACGCCGCTGACCCCGAAGGCAAACTCAGCAAAGCAGGAGCCAAGACCTTGCTGCAAACCCAGTTTGGGCATTTCATACAGGTAAGTGGATCAGCGCACGTGTCCGGAGCTGCACCCGTGCCCCTGCACTGCTCACTCCTGCCACCCACGGTGGTTGTGGTGTCTGCACCACCACGGCAAATACCCAAACCAAACCCCCGGCCCCTTTCCGTGCAAACCCCTCGCCTTTCCCTTCATTGCCAGTCAGGTCGCTCTCCAAGCTGGGAAGGCATTTGCAAGGCTGCCGATACATCACAAGGATTGTCAGCTTGTTAATCCCAAATGAGAGTTTAATGACTATGCAAATCCGTTCATGATGGATGGGTTACCTTGTTTTTATTCCTGGCCGCCTGTGCACGCAACATAGGACGCGGAAGCAAGAAACAACCTGCCTGCATTTTCATCAGGAAGGCAAAGCAATTGCAGGGACTCGTACAAAGAGGAGGCGCTGGGTGTTTTTTGGTAGGAAGAAATACACGTGTGTTTAATTAGGAGTCCAGAATCTGCCAGAACATCATCACCATCTGACACGAGGGCCAGACTTACGCCCCCAGGCCAGCTGGAGCCACATAAATTGCAGGATGGCAGATGACATCCTGGCAGAGAGTGGGCTGAAAGGCACCATTTTATCAGCTCCTCTTGCCGGGAGGGTTGGGGACAGCTATAACGGGGATCTCATCCTCCTTGCCCTCCTACTTCTGGACTAAAACTCCAGAGCAGGGATGGGCGGTCAGCCGGGGGAAGGATCCATCTGAGATGGAAATCCTGGGGAAGGAGCGTGGGCTGGGCTGCACCTACATAGAGCCAGCTCCTGTAATACATGTGCCCTCCGTTTCAGCAAAGAAGAGGGGTGGTGGGGGAGCCATTTCCCAAATTTGCTGGCAAAACCAAGCCCTAGGCATGGTGTAGGGCAGCCTAAAGGTGGTTCTGATATGCACTATTTGGCAGGGTTAGGAAATAAAGGTATCCAACTCAGCAGTGCAGGCAAAAAGCTGATCTTTCCTACAACAGGTTTATTGAGGGGATAGCGCTAATCCAGTAATGCCCATATCCATAATATTTGCAGCCAGTGTTTAAACAAGGCCAGTTTCACAATGCTGACAGCAATTAGGATCCAGCTCAACTAAGAGAAAGAATTGAAGCCAAAAAGCACGCATGGTAGTTGAGAGTGCTTAAGAATAAGGCTGGCAAAAAACCAAGCTAAAGAGAAGGATACTGTGATTAAGAAACAGTCCGGCTTAGGGAAGTGCAAGAACAAATACAGCCGAACGTAACAAATGAGCGGAGGAGAAGGGAAATCTGACAGCTATGAATATAAATTAGAAGCTAGGAATTTTAGAAAAATTGATCAGAGATGCAAACGGACCCAAGGAGAAATCAAAGGACAATGTGAAGGAGACTTTTAAGTGCATTATGAGCAAAGGAAACCCTAATAATGGCATCAGCCCATTACTAAGCTGAAGTGGTCAGAGTCGATAATAATGTAGCTATAAAGGCAAAACTGACTATTTCCCTTCTAAGTTCAGGGATAAAGCCAAGTATGTGGATATAATATGTGATGACGATTAAATATTTTCTATACCAAAAGCAACTCAGGAGGATGTAAAGTAGCAGCAGTGAACACCAACTTTTTTTAAATGAGCAAGTCCAGACAATCTGAATCCAAGAGTTTGTAAAGAACTGGCTGAGGTGCTTTCTGGGCTGCTGATGCTGATTTTTCAATAAGTCTAAGAATATCTGGGGAAGATCGAGAGGGGAAGAAAGCTAGCATCCCCATATTGTAAAAGGGCAAACAGGATGTCCTGGAAAATTATAGTCCGAGCCACCTGATATCAGTCTGAGATAAAAGTGTGGGATAGGTCTTACTGGAGAATTAAAGGGAGAAATATAAGCAGTGCAAATCAACATGGGTTTATGGAAAATGGATCTTGTTAAATTAACAGGATATACATTTTTTCTGTGAGATTACAAGTTTTGTTGATAAAGATAGCAGCCCTGATGCAGTACGGCAAGGCATCTGACTCAGCGTCACTCAAGATCTTGATTAAAAACCAGCGTGATGCAAAATCAGAATGGCACACAAGAAGTAGTTTAAATACTGGCTAAGTGATCATGGGCTCATCACCACGGGGGGCACTTTTTTGTGGAAATCAGAGAACTGGGGGCTCAATCTGTTTAGCATACTAAAGAGACAAAAATGACATAATATTTACATTCGCTATAGAAAAGGCAGGGAAAAAAAACCATACTAAATAATCTCCATTAACATTTTTTGCAGGGCCAGGAGAACAAGCCAAAATACAAGGAAATTATTTCTGCTCTTGAAGAAGATCCGGATAACAAACTCGAGTTTGAAGATTTCATGATCTTGTTACTCAGCATTGCTCTGATGTCCGACCTCCTGCAAGAGATCAGAAACGTGAGAAACACCAAATGATCCACGCTTGGCAAGAAGAATGAAAGCTATAGCAGTGTACATAAGAGAAGTAGCGGCCAAGAGTGAGATAGCAGACACACACAATGCTGTAAATATGGCAGTACCCTAACGCTGTTTCCTTTTAAATAGAATAAAGTCTGGGTCAGACAGGGTGGAGCTCGCTGTTGATTGGGAAGCCGTTCAGTGGTGCAAAAGCCTTTCGCTGTCTCTCTGCAATGGCTGCATTTCAGCCATCATAGATACCACATTATTCATTGATTAAAAAATTGGCCACGTAGAGATTCAGCCACAATCCTTGGCTATACAAACAATGGGCACCTATACACATGCTGGATGTCTGATCTGATGTGTGCTAATTAGATGAATCAAGTCTGCTGGATCATGTTAATTAAAACGCTTCAGCAGCCTCCACGTCATGTCTATTTAGCGTCTCCATGCTTCCAAATGGTGGCAAAGTGCTTGAACTAAACCGTATTCGATGAGGTTTAGTTCAAGCACCTCTGCCACCATTTTATTCGTAGATGTTAGGGTTGGAAGGGACCTCAATAGATCATCGAGTCTGACCCCCAGATCATCAAGTCCGACCCCCATTTTGAAGCACGGGGATGCTAATACACGTGACGCTGCAGGTGTTTTAATTAGGAGCAGCTCTCGGAGCACATGGATAGATGCCCGGTGGTTATATGAACTTTACTTCTTGCTGTTTCCCGCATGAAATCCGATACGCACCATAAACCTCTTTTATATCTTGTCTTCTCTAGATGAAACGTTCTACATTTCATTCACTGCTAATTATTGAAGGAATATTGACTACAATACTCAGAATGGGTCTTTGGCCTAAATACTAGTCTAACTAGTAGAGAATCCAATGGGTGGTTTTAAGAACGTGTAAACCATTGTGCACTTGAGGCCATCCACCAAAACCAAAGTCACCCTGGAAAGTTAGAAAAAGTAACCCATCCAAATACTAACGTTATTTGGTTTGTTTTTTTTAACTGGGAATTTCTTTAATTTTTCTGATGTACAAAAATTGTTCATAAACCACAAAGGTTACCTAAACTTTGGGATTCTATGATGAAATAAAATTGGAAATAAAGCTACTCCTCCGTCTAGGGAGGAAAGGACTTCAGTGGTTATGTTAATGAAGTGGTTGTATTAATGACGCTGGGTCCTGGTTGGCTGCAGATCATCAGCGCCTGCGTGTGTCTTTCCATTCTCCACGAGTATCCGACCAGGGAAGGGGCTGGCTCCCAGCCAGCTTATAACTTCTTCAAACCTCTGCTCTCACACGCATCGTAGAAACCCACAGCTTTTTTAAAAACACCTTTCTAGCAAAAAAAAGAACAATCCCAAACCCCAGTTCTATGTTTTCTATTTTTAAATGGAGAAAGTGTTTAAAGGATGGGGGAAAAAAATCCCCTATGAGAGCTTAACATACTCTGACAAGGCCATTATGGTGATGGAGCCAACTACAATGTTACGACCCCCCTAATTTTCTTTTTCTCTTTGCCTGAAAAGAAGGGAGAGACGAGAGAGGACAATTTTGCCTTGACATAGGAAAAGAGCAAAAATTAGCCTTGACATAGGAAAAGGGCAAAAATTAGCCTACTCACTGTTGACTTTTGGTGCTAAGAGAGGGGGAAAGTATAGTCTCGGGATCTAGATTTAGCTCTTCACCATCAAATACATCACAGTGTTTCCAAAACCCAACTGGGATTTTTGCAGCTGAGCTCCAAGCAGAAGACCCACCATCCATCGCTCCAGCAAGGGAAGGCCGACATCCGAACATGACGTTAGCACGGGCTCGTGCCACCTGGGACGCTTGCCCTCGCACCGAATCCGGCTGTTTGCCCAGCAACGTGACCTCCAGAACCGCAGCGAGTACAGGGAGAGAGGTGGGGGTGAGCAGAAGACACAGGGTCTGTTAACATAAATTAATTGATAGCAGAGAGGGGTGCAGACCCAAAAATGCTCACGTTTGAGATAGGAAGTGCCCGTGGCTGCAAACAGCTTGAAAATTGAGCGGAGGGTGTTTTCTCAAATCTGGCGAATCCAGGGATGCTTGGAATGAGAAAGCAGACGGTTTGGATGGATGCTGAATGATGGGCTTCCCCGCTTTGCAAGCAGCAGCAGAGCTGCTTGCCTTTTCCTACATTTAAAAATTAAAAAAGGAAGGAAATATCCCCAAAATAGCTCTCCCCTGCCATTCTCTCTCGAGTTTTCTACCAGAAAAGGCCCAAGAGGCTCAGAAAACCTGGTGACCCACCTACCTCTGAGTTTAAAAGTTCTCCCAACAGCTGAGGCCAAAGCAATGGTTTTCCCAGCACCGAAGTAAATGAAACATTGCCCAGCATGAGAGACTGTACTAGGAAGCCGGTGATGACTTTGAAAGCCCGTTGAGCCTCCTACTGTGCCCTCGTTACAGCAGAGGAGAAAAGCATGCTTTGTGAAGCTGGTTCAAAAAAATTAAGAAGCTGCTCAAGGGGGTGCATGGGGAGAATAGAAATAGGAAACCACTAGGGATCTTCCACTATTCATTGTTCGGGCGTTTCTCAATCTGGTGGGAACACACGGCTCTGCCATGGTAAACTCCTCACCTCTGCAGATTTCTTATTTGAACACGGCATCTGTATGAAGGCAGCACCCTGCTAGACCCAATACCAGCCTGCAGTAGATGCAGCTTCTGCACCAGTTACTTTATCAACTCAATGGACAAGGCATTCAGCAAGGAGGAGAGGAAGGAAGCTATTCCCCCAACTTTGCTTTGGAAGATGCGGTATTGTGAACTCAGGCTGTTTGGGGCTGCCCTGAACCCTCCAGCCTCACGGCTTAAAAGCTTGACCTGGAGATTACTGTACGTGTAGCTGGATCTGCAGGGAGTTGGTTAAAAGCTTCCTTAAAAAAAACCTACTGTCATGTTTCATTTAAGATGCAGCCTTGCTCCTACTGTTGTAAAGGGGAGTTTGTCCTTGATTTTGCATGGCAGAGTCCAGGTACGTGAGGAAGAGGAGCAGGTGCTGTAGCTGCGATAGCTCATCAGCTCTTCAGCTTCACCGGATGCCAGCCCTGCATCAAGGTAAGATCCCTCCGGTGTTGCTGACGACTCGGCCTTTGCTTTTTGCAGCTACACTTTTCAGGGGAGTCTTTGCACTGACCTCACTGGCAGCTGGATCTCGATATTGGTCCCCGGATACCTGCAACCGCCCATGCTTTCCAAGTGCTGGCACGGCCTTTGGGAGCCCCATCGGGTGAGCCCTCACATCTGTATATCCCATTTGCAGTGTGTGAGCACTGGAGCAAGGATTCATTCTCGCCTCCTCGTTACCTACTGGCTTCTGATATGTTGTAAATTAGTCAGGCTCTTGCAGCAGCTTCCCCAGGAAGACTGTGAGGGTGCTAATCCTGTGACAGTGAATGCAGCTCCCGTGGGGCTTGTGAGCTGCCAGAACAGTATAATTGCCATTCTCCCTGCCGTCCTCAGCAGATAAGCACAGGCTCTGCCACGGGCCTGGGTTTTAGTCAGCAGGCAGGTCTTGTTTGATCTCCTCCTTTCTCCCTAAGAATGTGTCCTAAACGTTCCCATATGGCAGAAGGCATGGGGTCTCCAGCTGAGATCATGCCCAGGTATTTCAGTGGCTACCAGGGACCACTTGGTTTATTTTGGGCATCCCAAAATACATCCGCGAGGCTTTTATCGGAGTTGGTTTCATCAGAGGCCCAGCCCTTGGGCATCAAGTCTGCCATGCTCAGAAATGCAAGCTTTTCTCCAGTTGCATGCTCCGTGCATCCGGCAAGTAATCTGGGGGGATCCCTGCAATGCAAAGGGGAGCTGAATCTGTGTCGAGCTGGGACTCCAGCACTTTGCTGGATAAAAAACTGTGCAAGGGAGATCCTGCCTGCTGTGACTATGACCCGCTCCCCAAAACATAGCACTGGCCCCTGTCACAGTCCCCCTCTCTTGCCTATATAGACTGCCTTTGGGGAGGGACTGCCTATGAGTGTCTGTGCATCCATCCCTGGTCAGTGCACAGCCTGGGTGGTAGTATCCACGATTAATAGCAATAAGTAGGGGTGACTGCGGCCTCCCTGTGTCCTCTGTTCAACTGCCCAAGGGGCTGGTAGTCGGTGCCTAACACCCCCCGCCCCCCCGACCTGAAATCCCCCCAAAGTTTGGCAGGGCTGGGTCTGGGACTTGTGGGTCCTTCTGATTTCACACTCCATCGCTGGTCCCCTTTTGAGCAAAACCCCAGGGGCTGGAGGTCCTGCTTCAACCAGTCTCTGTGACCGGCTCCTTGGCTTGTGGACGACTCGTTCTGGGTGCTGGAGAATCAGGACTGATGTTTCCTGAATGGAGCTTCTTGCCAGGAGCCCAAGGCTGAATTTCCGGCGTGTGTAGCTTCACCTGATGGTTGTGCAAAGGTAAAAGAGCCCCGTGCCTCTGCAATTTTGTTGGTTTTTGTAGGGCCACTTTCACCAGCAGCCTGTGCGCTGAAGGCCTGGGCTATCGGGGGACTGGGCAGCCCGAGACTGCCGTTCCACTTGCCGTCTTCCCTCTAGTCTTGTGTCTTCTTTGCTGTTTCCCAAATAAAAGCCAGCCCAGCTGCAAGTGCATGCCTGCACCTTTGCATACAGGCATGTGCAATCGCTGCTGGCACACGTGCCTCCCACCAGACATCTGTACAGCAGATCCTCTCTGCCCTCCCCTCATTGAGAGCAATGGGAGCACGGCTGCTGCTCCCACCTGCTGCCAACGTCACGTGTGCAAGCGCCCAACCTGAGCGCTGCCCAGATCCTGGCCTCAGAAAGACTCGAGCCGGGGCCTGGATGAGGCCTCATCTCAGGAGTTCATGAGCAAAGGGAAAAGGTAATTGTGCCCAGGCTGTGGGGAGCCCTGGAGCAGCAAAAGACTTGGAATGAACCCAACTGGTCTTTGCTTCTCGCCCTGTCAGGAAAGGTGAATAAATAAGGAGCGGTGCTTTTACTGCCTCCTGAGCTGCCAGCCAGCTCTTAAACCCTGCATTGACTTTTATTGCGTGCAGCAGTGGTTTACAGCGCAGCAATAAATGTCTCGCCTCCTCCCTTTGTTTGCCAGCTGCTCTCCACTCCCGCCGGTGCCTGCCGCCTCGGCGTCGGGGGCACTTCCCGCTCGAG